GACTGTAATACACTGTAGGAGGTGTAGGGGGCGATGTGGCTTCTACTGTTTCATTTAAAAAGCTCTATAATGTTCATATGATCCACGCACTCATTCTGACAGACTGTAATACGCTACAGGAAGTGTAGAGGGTAAGGGTTCTTTAATTGTTACGATATCAGGCTTGCTACAATAGAAAAACCCTTTGGGTACTATATAGAACCCTTTTCAAAAAGATTCTATAATAGAACCATATATTCTCCATCGATCTGAAGAAAGCAAAGAACCATTTTTATCATGCATCTTTGAGTGTTCATGGTTATATATAGAACATTTTTTTTACTAAAGAACCCCTGAAGAACCATCTTTTTAAAGAGTGTACAAGCTAGACACCAAGTGTTTCAAGTTTATTTGGGAACATCAAGGAAAAAATTATAAAAAAAAAAGAAAAATTATTATCTATTTAGAGTAATTTTGTGACACATCTGTCTGAGATCTGATAATTTAATAATAATAATAATAATAATAATAATAAACATTAAAGGGTTGATTTCCAAAGTTTTGACTCTTCCTAACATATAAGAAGTTCTTTGTAAACCTCAAAATAAAGCTACAGACCCACAGACAAGTGCTGAAACTTCCGAAGCATAAACAAACAAACAAAAACAGTCACTTTTAAACTAGTTGCAGTGATAAGAGTGTATAGATGCTCAATCTTTAAAGTGCTCATGTCATGAAAAACTGAATTTCTCTTTTTCTAAGGTTTAGTTCTAAAACATTACATTCACTCTCCAGTCCATTCACTCCACATAAGGAAACTAAGTTGCAACATACAGCTTGTTTTGAATTCATAGTTTTTGTGATGTCACAAAAATCAATGCATTTACATATATCCACCTACTTAGTCTACGGCAGTTTAGCCGCATCCACTTGGGCTGAAGTTATAAGGAGTGTTTCAGCCCGGACTGCTTTTGAATGAGACACAATACAGAGCAGCCAATCAGAGAGTTCATTTACATATATCAGTCTTAAAGGTACAGTATTACCTTTTTAATTCTAAGGGATGAAGAGAGGCTGGAAAATGGTAATGTAAAATGTTTTACAGCTGCTCAAAACCACAAAAAACATTGTAAGCAGACCTCAGGGAAAAAAAATAAAATACAAAAACATGTTGGATATGGGCCTTATAAAACAATCAGGGCACAAAACAGGAATTAAAAAGGAATTCCACAAATTTTTATCCATAGTTAAGTTGTTAAGATGTAAACAGAGTCATTCAGAGTGGTTTGGTGTGAAATGATCCATTCTAGAGAAACTTACAGAGTCAGAATTGTTCACAGTGGTGGTGACAGAAACCGCATGTCCACCTCTAAAAGCTTCCTGACATAAAGTTATTACATGAAATGGTTATGAATTCACTGCCTGATGTCTGAGACACTGTTTTTTGGTAGTTCTGAGAAGATTTTGGCCTGGAAACAGATTTGAGACCATGTTAAGGCCTTTTTTAGTCTTAACTCTTCTACTGAAGCTCATATTTAGATACAGACGACTCTCAAGTGGATTTGATCTGCTCATCACAGGATATCACCACCACTATAAAGAAATCTGAGCCATTTCACACCAAACCACTCTGAATCACTCTGTTTGCACACTACTGTTTGGCGAGAGCCAGAGGAACTGACACACGCACCAGTGAACATGCCCTAGATTGGCTTGTATGTGTGCTGTCTCATATATGTTTACAGGAAGCCTAATGATTTCTGAAATTAAAAATGTGTTCAGTTCATTTTCATTTAATCATCGTGCTTGTTGTATTTAAATTTTGTAAGGATCATACTAATACTCATTTCATTACTATGTTTTGGTTGGAAAAAAAAATGTTTAATTCTTGAAACATCCAACAGAAAACTATCCAGTCAGGCTTGATTTCTCAGGGGTATCTAAGCAGATAAAGCTGAGCTGCTCTCCCATTGGTTAGGACTTCAGGAGCTGGACTAAAGGCCTTACACATTAACTACTAAGATAATTAGGAATCAACAATCACGCTTTAATTTACACTGAATGAAAAAAACATAGTCTGTCTGGAGGTTTCTAGACACATAACTAACTGTGCATATGAGTCATAGTCTAAGCAGTCTCTGGTTAGTTGTTAGGAATGGAAAACAGAGGCTGCAGCTCTATGCAGAACTCTTTACTGAAAGAGTCACTGTAACACTGATACATACAAGCTCAGATATATGATAACGTCTGTTACAAGCTTCAGATAAAACTGTTTCAGAACAGCAAAAAATGTTGAATCACCACTAGCGTCGTGCTAACATACTACTAGAATCCCAAAGGGGCACTAACAGAAACTAGCATTATAGTAGAGTTGTTTTTTTTCCTCCTTACGTTTTGATGGAAGGCCCGGCCAACAGTCATGGTTCACACATATTGAGCTTGCACGCACACACACACACACACACACACAACCCCACCCACGCACACAGACACAGACACACACGTGCCAGCCAGCCAGACGCTGGCGGGAAAAACAGACTCCACTCTGCTGCTGTTGAGGTTCGGCTCACAACTGGCCCACACACATACACAAACATGTTTTCATACCTTGTCAGGTCATAGGGTTAGAGGTGGGCAATATATTTTATTGTCATTGTGATATTTTGTTGATCACAGTAATAAAACACACTTTTCTGAGCATGTCAGTGATATCGTCAGTACTTGACCGCATGTGTCTTTATAAAGAGAGCCTGTTAGTGGAGTGTGTGAAACATTTGTTGCACACAGAGTTTTGTTTTACATATAACATACGTCATGTGTCATTATATAGTATTAAGCTAACAAGATATCTGAATTAAAGCAGTTCTGCAAAGCAGAGTGGGCACAAAGCCCCCCAACACCGTCACGAAAGGCTGACATCAAATTATTGAAAATGCTGGTTGCCGTTATTGCTGCTTAATGTCATTAAGCAAGATAATCATTTTAAGGGTGCAATTACTTTTTCACACAGGTAATTCCATGTTGGCTGCTACTTTTAATTGAAAACAAAAAAAGTATTCTGTATATGATAGTGTTGATATGGATAACATATATGTGCCCAAATATCTATTTTTAAGTTTTCAGTGCAACCCATTTATATACATATATACACCGATCAGGCATAACAACTTGTTTCCAGGCTCATTGTCCATTTTATCAGCTCCACTTACTATATAGGTGCACTTTGTAGCTCTACAGTTACAGACTGTAGTCCATCTGTTTCTCTTTGTTAGCCCCCTTTTACCCTGTTCTTGTCCTGACCACTGAAGAACAGGGTAAAAGGGGGCTAACAAAGTATCAGAGAAACAGATGGACTACAGTCTGTAACTGTAGAACTACAAAGTGCACCTATATAGTAAGTGGAGCTGATAAAATGGACAATGAGCGTAAAAACAAGGAGGTGGTCATAATGTTATGCCTGATCGGTGTATATATACATTCTTGCTGTCACAAGTATCTCCATTTTTTTTTATATTTATCTACATCATTAAAGCACAGCTGCCTATTTCATGAAGAATGGACCAATAGAAATGCTCCAAAATTCCTTGGAATAAAATTTCTTTATATTAACTTACATTAAAAGTAATGAACGCTTTGCCTTCTCCTGTTACCATTTTGAAGATACTTGTTTTTCTCTGGACAATGATGACATATAAGTGCCTGTATATGACAATATTTCCCATGTGTGTTATATACAGTGGGGTCTAAAAGTCTGAAACTTGGAAATCTGTATTTTTTTCCTTTACGTTTGTAAATAAGTGCTAAAAAGTTTTAGAATTTGGAATGAAATTAAAACAAAGAGAAGTTATACGAAATAAAATGAATAAATATTACGGATTCTGCACTGTTTCTAGGTTTTGTTCAAATGTAAGCAGATTTGAGACCATGTTAAGGCCTTTTTTATTCTTATCTCTTCTACTGAAGCTCATGTTTAGATTCACACAACTCTCAGGTGGATTTGCTCTGCTCATCAGAGGCTTTTACACAAACTTGTGGAGTCCATGCAGCTCGAGTGCACTGTCATTATTGCAAAAGGAGGCCACACCACCAAATATAAAGAAATTCTGAAACTTATGTACATATTCCAATGATACTACTCTTTTTCGCTCAAATTGTTATGCCAGTAATGTTGTTTGCAATGACACATTCTGTATTAAGCTTATTTGTGTAGTATTTAAAAGGAAACTTTTCTGATTAGGTATAATAAACTAAGAGTAAAACTGTGAAAGGAGCCTATTTCTATCTATTTGCGTCCCATGTGACATATACATATGATCTAGTACATATATGTAGCTATGTATATGTAAAGTGATATGTCCCATATGTTTAACATATACATATGTGCCTATATGTAATAATAGTGTCCTAATTCGAATCTCAATCTTAATTTCAGGAACCAAAAACAAATGGTTTTGCTCTTTCAGATTAAAACAAAATTAAACTTTTATGAACAACAGTTTATTAACAGGATATTTTCATAGTCCTGTAGGTTGGTCCTGTTTTTCTGTAGTAAAAAGTCATTTTTGGACTGAACAAAAAATGTACAAAAACAAACACAACACACGCACGCGCACACACACACGCACACACGCATGCATGCTTATCTGTCTCCGTCTGGCAGGATGTCACCCAGACTGCTGGCTCTCTGTAATAATTCTGCTCCCAAAAAAATCCTCCACAACTTCCTCCCAGATCCACAACACTTCTGAAAGTGCAGTGTTGTGTATCTCATTCCAGGAAAGCTCCCTCAGGATTAAACAGCCACCATGCTTTTACTTTTCTCCAGATAAACATCACCAAGTTGGCTTCTTTTGCTAATTTTCCGTTCTACCTTAAAAGGTGCAGCAGTAACATTCTGACGCCTGAGGCTGCTGCACCATTTAAGGTGGAACGGAAAATTAAGACAACTTCAGCTTCATACCAGCACCTTCCACCCAGCTCCAGACCAGAGCAGAAGACCTTGAGATCAACACGAAACTCACCTTATAATCCTGCTCCTTTCTACCAATAAAGTCCTTCCGTCCACATGCAGTTTTCCTGCTGATCCTCAGCTCAGTTCCCACACATATACCGCTCCATTTCCTCCACCACAACAGCTGGGTTCCTCTACACTCTCTCTTTCTCGCTCACTGTGTCTCTCTCCCTCTCCCCTCTCTCTCTCTCTTTCTCTCCTGCTTGCCTTCTCTCAGCTGTCCAAGCCCTCGATGCTCCCCAGGTCCTAGTGCTCCTCATTTTCATTGAAAGAACGTCATTGTCTCCATCCACATCTTCTGAGTTCAGTGATTCCTAATCCTAATCCTGGAGTAGCCCTGACCAGAGGTGGATCTTACACTAGGTAGAGCCAGCCAAGCAGCTAGACCACCCATATGACAAAATATGAATTAGATATATACGTATATATATATGGTAAACAACCTACACCAAAACATAAAGCATACCAAAATGGATGCTGTCTGCTGGTCTGAGTTTGAGGAATTCTAATCTTTACTGAAAGATTACTGAAAGAGTCTGAGGAACCATTGATCCTACTGAGTCTGTTGGAGTTTTCACACTTGTCCTAAATACTAGAGTCCACATCCAGGACTGATTCTGTGTTTATTTGGGGGAGGGGCTCATTATTGGTGGTTTGCTTCCACACAGCATGCATGAACACCTGCAAAAAAGTTGTTCTTGTATGAGCCATGCGGGCCAGCACCAAATGACACGATAAGTCTAAGCACCTCCAATTTTAGGAGGACCAGAGGACGGTTCTCTGGACCGCTCCCAGGCTTGAAAAAAGCCCTGAGGAATCGCTGGCCCACCTGAGACTGAGGAACTCATTTTAATGAGTCTGAGAAGCCATTTTCTCCTCTGATTCTGAGGAACCACTGACTCTATTGAATCTGAGGAGCTGTTGACCCTACTGATTCTGAGGAACCATTGACCATACTGATTCGGATGAACTATTTACTCCACTGAGTCTGAGGACCATTGACCCTACTGAGCATAAGGAACCATTGACTATACTGAGTTGAAGAACCTCTACTGAGTGTGAGGACCGATTGACCCTGATGAATCTGAAGATCCGCAAACCTTACTGAGCATGAGAAACTGTTTACTCCACTAAGAACCCATTGGCCCTACCAAGTTTGAGGGACTATTGACCCTACTGAGTCTGAGAAGCCATTTACTCTACTGATTCTGAGGAACAATTGACCGTACTGAGGAGTCACTATTTACTCTACTGAGGCTGAAGACCGATTGACCCTAATAAATCTGAAGATCCATTAACATTGAACATTTACTCCACTGATTCTGAGGAACTATTGTCTACACTGAGTCAGAGCAACTATTTACTGTATTGAGTCTGAGGACCAATTGACTCTAATGAATATGAAGATCGGCTAACCTTGTTGAGCAAAAGAAACTATGTACTCCACTGAGTCTGGGGACCCATTGGCCATACTGAGTTTGAGGAAGCCTACATTTTACTCCACTAAGGAACCTCCTGGGTCTGAGGAACCATTGGCCCTACAGAGTCTGAGAAGCTGTTGACCCTACTGAGTCTGAGGAGCTGAATCTCAAGATCCATTAACTTTACTGAGCATGTTAAAATATTTACTCCACTGAGTCTGAGGACCCACTGACCCTGCAGAGTCTGAGGGACTACTGACCATACTGGGTCTAAGAAATCATTGGCCCTCCTGAGTCCGAGTCTGAGTCTCAAGAGCCATTTACTGAGTCTAAGAAGCCGCTGACTCTACTGAGTCTGAGGAGCAGTTGACCCTACTGATTCTGAAGAACACTGACCATACTGAGTCAGAGGAACTATTTACTCTACTGAGTCTGAGAATTGATTGACTCTGAAGTCAGTCTGAAGATCTGCTAACCTTACCAAGCATGAGAACCTGTCCACTCCACTGAATTTGAGGACTCATTGGTCCTACAGAGTCTGAAGGACTTTTGACCCTACTGAGTCTGAGGAGGACTAGTTGATCTTACTAGCCTGATGTGGACCCACTGACCCTCCTGAGTCTGAAGAGCCTTTGACATCAGGCAGTGAATTCATAACCATTTCATGTAATAACTTTCTGTGAGGGAGCTTTTGGAGGTGGACATCTGGTTCCTATCAACACAACTGTGCACAATTTTAACTCGGTAAGTATATCTAGAACGGAGCGTTTCACACCAAACCACTCTGAATGACTTTGTTTACATCACAACCACTTGACTATGCAGAGATTGGGGCATAATCGAGACATATTTGTCTGGTGCAGCTGAAAAAGCAGCAGAAAGCAAATACAAATATAACTGCAAAATGACAGAGTGCAGGTAAAGTGTGATGGCCAAGAGTGAAAGAAAGAGAGGACAGAGTGCGGGAAGGGAGAGTGAGGTAGCAGAATAGAAAAGAAATGAAAGAAAAGAGAAAAAATGAAAGAAAGGAAGGGGGCCCTGTTTGACAGAAAAGCCCACTCTTTTTTCAGTGGTGGATGAAAACAGGGTGTGGATCGATACTAATCCTGAATGTGGGAGCTGTTTATTTTGGTGAGTCTGAGACCCGGCAGGCGACTGGCTTTCCACGCAGCCATAAATCAGAGCAAGGAGAGGAGTTGGTCTACACACACACAGCTCCGGCCTGCTCACACACACACACACACACACACACACACACACACACACACACACACACACAGCCTGAGCTCACACACCCTCCAGGGTGGCAGTAGAGAAAAACACCTCAGCATTCCTCACAGAGCTCCTCAGAAATGCACCTCAGCACTGACTGAAAGCAGAGGAGCAGGTTACAGGGTGTACACGCCTTCAAATGCCTCTTCTTACATTTTGTTTCACTGTTTTTGACTTGTGACTCATTTAAACAAGGGGAGACATTGTGTGGAAAGTGTAAATGATAAACTTTCAATCCATATCACATTTGTTTCTGTATGTAAAATAGAAGATATGTTATTAAAGGCTATTTTATACAAAGTGTGTGAGATGTAAACAGAGTGATTCAGAGTGGTTTGGTGTGAAATGGTTCAGATTTCTTTACAGTGGTGGTGATAGGAACCAGGGGTCGCCATGACTACAACACAAATATAGACATTTTATTTACTGTCCAGAACCACCAGTGAACCTACACGAGTCTTCTGAGTTTTATATGGAATGTTGATGATGAGGAAAATAGTGGGAAATCTGAAATAATACGTTTTCTTTGGGGAGCCCATGCATCCCTCCACCATGACTGGAGCTTAAGGCCAAAATCTTCTCAAAACTATCAAAAAACAAGTGTCTTCTGAGTTTTAAATGGAATATTGATGATTGTAAAATAGTGGAAAACCTAAAATTATGACTTTTCTTTGGGGACTATTTTGCCTCACAGCACCCTGCATATTATATATCCCTCCACCATGAATGGATTTTATGCCCAAAATCTTATCAAAACTATCGTAAAACAATGTGTCAGTGAATCCATAACCATTATATATAAAACCTTTCAGTGAGGGAGCTTTTAGAGGCAGACGTCTGGTTCCTATCACTACCACTGTGAACATTTCTGACTCAGTAAGTTTCTCTAGAACGGAGCATTTCACACCAAACCACCCTGAATTACACTGAGTGCACTCAATACTCTGATCACAATCAGATTTCTGTAGTTATCTGATTATTCAAATGGTCATGTAAATAGCACACTCTGGTTTCTTAGATCAGAGTAAGGTCTAGAAATCCAGAGTCTCAGTGCAGATTTCTCAGTGCATGTAAACTCTTACTCTGATTTCTTTTGGATTTCTCTGTCTGCACATGTGCGAAAACAGATGGCGGTACCAGAAATAAGCAAGCCGCGTTGCCACGAGATGGCAGAAGAACACTTGTGGAGCGACACTGAAACCAAATACATTCTTGATTTTAATTTGTGAATTTAAAAATTCTTCATCTTCTAGATGATGTTTGTTCATGTTTTCAGGTAAAGTGGCGCGATGTTTTTTTTTAAAAAAAAAGCCGCAGCATGAAGTTTAAGTTTTGCGTTACATGTCTTCTTCTGTGAGCTAATTGGGTTGCTAAGCAGAAATCTGATTACTGCCTGACTCATGCAGACCTGGAGTTTCCCCAATATCTGATTACTCGAATGCATGTAAACGCGTTGATGGATTACTGACAAAATCTGAAGTTCTGTAGTTTTCGGATTATTAAGTGCATGTATTTGCAGGTATTTGGTTCCACTTCAATTACATATTAGATTCACTGGTGTGAGAGATTTATGTGGAGCATAAATGCCAACATTTGGTCACAAATGAAAAAAACACACTTCTACGATAACACTAATTCCTGCTAAGTGGTTCTAGTTGCTTGTTATCACTAAGCTAGTAGTGTTTAACCCTTTAAATGGCCAGGGATTGTCAGCAGGCCCAAAGTGTTATTACCTAAGCATAGCTCAACCAGTTTGCATTGAAGTCTATGTAGTTACTGAATAATAAGCCTTAATATGTAATAAGCCTGGGACTTAAGGGCTCAACTTTAACAGTTTTAGCCACTATAGATTAAACACAGACATTTGAAGTTTGTAAAATACTTTCCATATGTTTTATCTGAAACTTGTAACAGACATTATCATATATGTGATCTTGTATGTATCAGTGTTACAGTGACTCTTTCAGTAAAGAGTCCTGCATAGAGCTGCCACTGCTCTTTTCCATTCCTAACAACTAACCCGAACCTGCTTAGACTATGACACACATTCACAGTCAGTAATGTATCTGGAACCTCCAGAAGGACTAGAGTGATGTTTTTTCTCATCCACTGTAAATCATTGATTGGTCGTGATTGGTTGATTCCTAAATATGTTGGTATTTAATTTAATAAACGTGTAAGGCCTTTTGTTCAGCTCCTAAAAAATGAGAGAGCTCGCTCAGCTGCATCTACCTAGATACCACAGGGAGAACAATCCTGATTGGACAATTTTCTGTTGGGTGTTTCAAGATTTTAACCCTTTGTTTTCAACCAAAGCTTTCCAACAAAACAAGAGTATTACTACAATGCTTACAGAGGATGAACATAATAAGCACGATGATTCTATTAAATGAAAATAAACTAAAATATTACATTCTTCTCTGAACATTGCCTTGACTGCACATTATTGTCTTGATTGCCCTCAAAACTCTAAAAAGCCCTTAGTCCAGCTACAGATTAGTTCAGGGA